TTTGAACCGTGCACCTCTGGGATTGTAGTTGCAGCTCCTTACCACTAGGCCACCAGAGCTCCCCTCAAAGCATAGTTTTAATCTACATTTTTCTGAAGACTAAATGAAATCACGACTCGACTCTTTTTGTATATCCTTATTGACCATGTCAAGATCTTATTTTATGAAATACCTATGCAAGTCTTTTGCTTGTGGTTTGGGTTCCTCCCCCCAACCCTTATTAGGTATTTTGTCTTTTCTTTCTAAGTTTCTGCTTCTTTAAAAATGAAATCTTTAGTTTAGGAAAGGCTTATATATCCTATTCATTTTTATGCAATCATTAGTAGATAATTTTTTTAAGATTACCATTGATTAATGTAATTAGTTAACGCTAATGTCTATGTTTTTAAAATGTAAATATATACTTTTAAAAAACTGTGGGTGTGAGTTGTTCCTCATTTCTTTAGTTTTACATCTTATTCCACTGTGGGCCCTGTTTTTTCCTCATACTGGTGGCTTTTGGGGAATTCTCATTTTAATATAGGACAATTCAGCACATCTTTCCTTTCTAGTTGATGTTTATGTCCTTTTAGACAAATCTCTGCGCACTCAAAATACATGAAGATGCTCTACTTTTCTTTTAAATGCTTTTCACTTTATCTTTCACCTTCGCAATCCATCTTGAATGAACTTTGCATGCAGTATGAAGATTAATTTTCCCCCCTTCACATGGGAATCCAATAGATCTAGTATTAGTTCAATGAACAAAATAAAACAAAGAGGACACTGAAATTCTGCTGAAGGTGTTGGTAGGAACAAGTCAGGGTTATGGATGTACAATATGAACAATTTGTCTCTGAAAAGTACCTCTCAAGATTGTTGAAATGCCAAATGTTTTGCTACAGATATAGTCACAACAATTAAACAACAACAAAATGCATTTTTCTGTTTAAAGAGAGAGAAAAAGATATATTTCATGATAATATATAGGCATCATTGTAATACTTTTCAAGTTTGGTTAAAAAATGTGAAATAAAATGTTGGAGAGAAATGATATAAAATAAAATAGAAGAATCTGCTGTAAGTTAACAAATACTATAAGAAAGATGATAGAAAAAGAGTTAGTACTTTTGAGTTGTGGTTCTGGATAAGAGTACTGAATATCATATGGACTGCCCAAAGATCAAATAGAGAGAACTTCTCAGAGAAAGTGAAACCAGAGTGCTCCTTGGAGGCAAGGATGGTGAAGCTTCATCTTTCATACTTCAGACATGTAGCTAGATGAGGCTGTTGATTGGAGAGGGATATCATGCTTGGAAATATGAGGGGTCAGCAAAGGAGAAGAAGATGCCAACGAGACGGATTGACACGGTGACTTCTGCGATGAGCTTGAATGTTTCAGAGATGATAAAACCTAGGATGACGTAGGATAAGGCAGGCTTCAGGTTGGCTTTTCATAATGTTACTGTGAATCATGCTTGACTTGCTGACACCTGACAACAACAATGAATATAATGATTTCTATTTTGGATGCATGTATAGATCTTGGTTTTAAGCCGTAAGAAAAAACAACAATAGCAACTAGCAGTTAAAAGTCATCTGGAAACAAATGGGAGAAACTTCAGAACACACTGAATATTGAAGGATTTAATGGCATGATTATTAGATGTGATAATACTGTGATTATGTAGAAGTATGTAATTTTCCTTCTTTCTCTTTGGATTTGCTACAGATATAGCAAGGCACAAAGTGACTTATATTTCAATAACTCAGTAATAATGTAAGCATACAAATTTTAAAAAATGTTAAGTCTGGAAGAACGATAACAACTGTTGTGTCCTAGTGGAATGGTGTGTGGCTGCTCCTTGTACTATATACTTAAAAATCAAAAGACACTTAGGAGGGAGGCATTTGGTGAAACAAAAAATATTTTCAAGACTGATGATTCTGGCACCTTAGAGATTTGTGCACTCTCTCTCTTCATTTACATCTCATACCTACAGGGGAGTGACACTATGACCTATTTTAGCCAAGCATGGCCAAGCTGAGATCTGGACCCATATCTGATAAGTAAAATTTTTCTGCTATTGTTTTCTGTTTTTGAAGCTTCTCTTCTGCCACTTTATCTCCCAGGATATGGGGAGGGTCTGGTGGATGTATGGACACATTTACAGACTAAGTACCAGGCTTTACATGTATCACGTAAATCCTCACAACAACCTGGTAGTGTTGTTTCTAACATTTATCATTTCATTGCTGCACAGAGAGGTTAAGTAACTTGCCTAAATCACATAGCTAAGATGGAAGAAATGGGAGCTACACACACACACAGCATAAGTCACCTGAGGAATATAAAGTGGGATTATTACTGGTTCTCATAGAACTCTTGTGAAGTTCTCTTTTCTCTTTGTTGCTGCTAGTATTCCAGGTTCTGATGTGTCTACATGGGGAATGTTTATTTCTTCAATTCAGCTGTCAGCTCCTTGGAGTTGAGGCTGTCTTTGGCTGATCCCTTATTATGAGTCTCGGGTGATTTCTCCCTGCTCGCTGAGGTTCTATGGCCTGAAGGTGATCTAGATTCACAGGTTCCAGATACTGCTCTGACGTTTAGGTGATGGGGGCAGGAGACCAATCTGTTTGTGAAGGAATGCAGAGGCAGTTACAACTCCAAGGTCAAGGGCCTGCCTGGGGAGACAAATCGGTTGCAAGGCTTGGGTCAATAGTTTCTCCCTCTCAGGGCATCAATTTCCTCATTTGTGCACTAGAAAGATAAGAACACTCTTGCAAGATTTAAAGAGGTAAGGAAGGGCCAGTGTTTCTCAATGCATGCCCTGAGTTTCATGAGACAACGTATGATCAAGAGGCAATGGTGATGAAGGAGGAAGTTCAAACTACTCTGAGGGAATTGGGAAAAACAAAGTCCCAAGAATTGATGTGATGGTATATCAATTTGACTTATTTCAGCAAACAGATGCTGCCCCTGGACACGCTCACCAGGTTGTGCCAAGAAATTTGGAGGACTACAACCTGGACAACTGACTAGAAGAGATCCATATTTATTCCCATTCCCAAAAAAAGGGTGATCCAACACAGTGTGGAAATTATTGAACGATGTAACTAATATTACATTGCCGATTTTCAATTAGGCCGGCAAGATCCAACTGAAGCTTTTCTAAAAACAACTGGAATAGTACATCAGTAGAAAACTGTCAGATGTGCAAGCTGGGTTTTGGAAAGGCCATGGCACTAGGGACATTTTAGCCAATGTTAGATACATCTTAGCTGAAAGCAGAGATAATGAGAGGCATGTCTATCTGTGTTTCATTGACTATGTAAAGACATTTAACTGTGTGGATCACAACAAATTGTGGCTAACCTTGAGAAGAATGGAAATCCCAGAACATTTAATTCCGGGAATTCATGCGAAACATATACTTGGATCAAGAAGCAAGCCAAACAGAGCAAGAAGACACTGCATGGTTCAAAATCAGGAAAGGTATACATCAAGGATGCAGCCTATGGACCTTTTCAATCTACTGTGGACTGCCAAGGGAACAAACAAGTCTGTCCTGGAGAGGGTGAAACCAAGCTGCTCCTAAGAGGTAAGGATTTGGGACTTGTTGAGTGGGAGCAGTCCTTGGAAAAGGACATCATGCTTGGAAGGGTAGAGGGACAGTGCAGGAGAGGAAGACCCTGGATGGGATAGTAACTGGGGTATTGGGGAAGGTGTATCGAAGACAATGAGATTGTCTCAGGATAGGACAGGCATCAGAGCTATTGTACATAGGGTCCTATGAATTGCAAGTGACTTGACTAGATGACACATAACAACAACAACAGCATCAGCAACAACAACAACAACAACAACAACTCTTGTGCTAAGAAGTTGCACTGTAATGCCAAAGGCATGTGGTTCGAATCCACCAGTTGCTCTGTGCGAGGATGGGGCAGTCTCCTCCCGTGTGATTTACTGCCTCGGAAAACTTGCTGGAGAATCAGCTATGGGTCAGTTTCAACTCCTCTAGAACACAGCAAACAAAACAAATCTTGTCATGATTCTGTGGGGTTCAGATTCTTCCCAGAGCTTCAAGCTCAGCCCTGCCTTACCGGATTTTTTTCTGTGCTTGTTTTAGTTACAACCTGGTAACAGACTAAGCATTTCCTTACTTCTGGGCCTTTGCACCTGCTGGTTCTCAAGTGAGAATGCTCTTCCTTACTCTTTATTAATAGTTCATGTACCTTCTCAGTGAGGTCTTTCTTGACTACACTAGTCTGTTTCCAACAGAATCTCTGGTTTTATTGTACGCTTATCACTTGTGAGTACATGATGTTAGGATTTCTCATCCTCCTTCCATATATAAGTTCCAGGAAGGCAGATTTTGTCTGTTTTGTTCTTTGTAGTGTCTCCAGACCAAGAACGGTGTCTGGCATATACCTAGGGTTCAGTTAATAAATAGTAAATGCCATGAATGAATGAATGAATGTTGTCATCAGGCCAATTCCTCAGGTTTACAATCCCTCCCTCTCTGCCGCAGTGGGCGAGGAGCCGGTCAGACTTTGTAGACGGCCCCTTGGCCCCGGGTTGGGGGTACCCATGCGCGGAGCCGGCTGTCACTTGAGTGACGCTCCCAGAAAGCCCGGGCGGTGGCCACGCCGGGAGAGGGGATGTCGCCATTTGGCAATATCCCCTGCAGGCCGCCGAGCCACCGCGGGGGTCCTGCAGGGGTCGAGCGGAGAGTGCGCGCGGGTC